CCAATGGGGCGGGGTCGGTTGGGTTGTGTTGTTGAGTTTGGGTTGGTTTGGTTTTATGACGTAACTAAAGTGCCCTTAACATGTATACAGGTACAATTTATTATTATTATTATTTTATTATAACATAACAAATCTTAAAATTATGACGTCAATCGGGACTGAACTTAAGTCCCGCCTCGGGACGGGAGCCACAGCGTTATAAAATTGTTAAAATTAACTTATTAATTTAATGGGACACCAATGAAGTAAAAATATATTTAAATGCCTTTAAATTATTATTCTTTTTAATAATTTTATAACATTTTTTCTTTGAGTGGAGATATAAAGTTTTTATCATAGACTACGCAAAAATACAGTTTTTTTCAAATTTCCGATACTTTAAAACGCAAGTGAAAAGGTAAAACCTTGCAATAAAAAGATCTAAAGTTTTCTTAAAAATGTACGAGTTGAGAAGCCTAACATTGTAATGTTTCTTTAAATACTAAATTTTAATTGCTTTCTATTGAAGTATATACTTTATAGAAATACTCGTAGTGAGAATATCATTCGTCAAAACGTATTTTACATGTTAAAATATTAACTAAAACATCGTTTTTTCCATTAGACGTCCCTTTGATGTAACACTCGCAATCTGCAGTTTTTGAAATTGTCATCCCAAGAACGCGTGCACGCGGAAAATATATTTTTTCTGAAAGGCACTATTCAAGCACCATTCAGTCTCATTTCTCTTTGGATGCGGCAGACAAGCATCATCTTGTGTCCTCTTTAATCCTGCTACCATTTCTGTACTGAGCGTTCTCAGGAATGCCGAAACTACCGTTAATTAAGTGCGTTTGTTTTTTTCTTCCTCTTCTTTCGTATTTTATTTATCGGGTTTTCGAACTGAACTTCGGTTTATCGGAAAACGTTACACGCCGCAGTCGAGCCATAAAAATTATAAGGAATTCGTTTACGACCACTTAAATTCGCCAATAAATACGTTTTTGGTAGCGTTTAACCACAGGGTGCCCTTTTATTCACCTTTTTTGCTGTGACAACTTTATTATAATTAATTTGGACATGCACACATGTAGCAAAAACTATCTACATGTAGGGTGTATTTTAGCATACTGTGATTTTGTAAAACTATTGCTTTTAAGTTGACACAAAATTTTCTCCACACTTTTATGCAAAACTAAATTTGTAAGCATTTAATAAAATTACAGAAAATTCATCTCTTTAAAACTTTTTTAAAATAACAATTGAATACCTATATGTATAAACATTATGGCGAAGATTGAATAAAACTACCAGAATTAGCCTTCTACAAAATTATTCAAGATCAAGCTGCTAAAAGTTGCTGAGTTACCATGGAAACCATAATAAAGAAACGTTTAGTATATTTGACACAAACGTCAAATTTGAGGTCAATAATTATTAATTTTTACCAAACATTCTTATAGAAACACCGGTTGTGGAAAAAATCCTGTGTGTAATTCAAGCGCAAAGTGACATCGCCGCTCTCGCGAGATAGCGGCCAATATCCGAAAACAGTAATTAAGCATAATAACTAATCCTTTTAGGAATTATGCATAATTCCTAACGTGGTAAGAAATTCTACATAATTCTGATACTTAATATTAAATGCTTAAAAAATTAGTAGGTATTTACTAGTTGAATTATACAAACAGTACATAAGCAACACAGATAATGGAGGAACAAGCATAGAAAAAGTGCTATAGCATGTAAGAATAAAAACCTTATACCATAAAAAATGTAACCATAAAAAGAAGATGGGAATCGTAAAATGAACCACAAGAAGGCAAAACAATATACAGGGTGTTCCGAAATTAGTGCACCAAACTTTAACATCAGATTCTACGTGCAAAAATAAGAAAAAAGTCCCTATAAATATAGGTCGAGAAATGCCTCCTAAGGGAGCTACAGCCCCCGAAAAGGGAGCCCCTGAAGATGGTTTTTATCTAATAGGTATAAATAAAAAAGTAGAAACACCATGTCACTTACTACATGAAACTGTCACCTGTCTTGAATTATTCTATTTTTTCCTAAACATGGCAGCCGTATTCCAAGGACCACGCGAGTCCATTTCTATGGTTGTGATTTAATTGTGAATTTTTATGCCATGAAAAATAATTTTCAAATCGATTTTATGCGAAAACGGTGTATGTTATCGAAGTTCAACAAGATGACCTTTTTTATGTGCAAAACTCTAAAATTTCATAATCTGACACCAAATTCTGGTACAAGATACGTAAAAAAAAGTTAAGGTGGTTTTAACCCTACTTCCTATCAATCTGACCCAAACCTCATAAGAAATTTTAAATTGTATTGTTACGTCTTATTGGTCATAGAAAGTTTAATTAATTCCCCAAATTTCACTTTTATATCTTTAACGGTTTTGGAGATATTAAATAAAAACCATCTTCAGGGGCTTTCCTTTTGGGGGCTGTAGCTCCCTTAGGAGGCATTTCTTGACCTATGTTTATAGGGACTTTTTTTCTTATTTTTGCACGTACAATCTGCTGTTAAAGTATGGTGCACTAATTTCAGGACACCCTGTATATTATTAGGATATTTTCCATTGTTTTTGCGGTTTTAAACAAAATTTGACATATAAGTCATAGAATGACTCACGCCACGGCGTTCTCTATTAGAGAACGCCGTGCTCACGCGCTCTCTTATCTGACTCGATTACACCGCAGCGCCGTGGTCAACAGCCTCTCGTAAGCGTTGGTGGCGTTTTACACTTAACAATCTCGGATTAGGTTTCACTAATTCGGCATTTTCGGCATTTGTTACCTGATTCCTCGGCTACCTGGCCAAATACTACATCGTCTTTGGGGCAACGCTCCCCGAAAGGCACAAAGCAGTTTGTATTTATAAATAGAGATAAAACGACACACCTATTTTGCGATCAATTTGCCACAATGCCAAAACTAACTGTAGCGTTTTGTGTTCTCTCGAGTGTCAAGGGATTTATTTGTCTATCAGCTGGAAACACTCCACACAGTTGCAGGCTATTCAACCACGAAAAAATTGAGCTGTTATAATGTTGTTGATATTTTGTTTAGTTGGTCAGAAAATCCCATAATATTTCGGCTTATTTAGTACGAAATTACATCACATTCCCTTGATTTTAGACCCAGCTATTCATGCATTCCAATGGGGATAAACCCCTCAAATATTAAATGGGTATTTTTTTATTTAAAGAACTACATGTTAGTTCTATCAAAGAAAAGTTGCGTAATTACGAGTTTAATTATTTTGAAATTATAAAAATAAAAAAAACAATCGGTATTACTTCGTTATTCCTGAGAATTAAAAAAAGGGTTTGACTTGGGGTATTTCCATTGTAACGGGTGTGACACTAAAACTGTGTTTTTTCATGAAAATAAAGTGTTTGTTCATATATATCAAGATTAGTTAATATGAAAAAATAGTATAAAAAATTAGGTATTTAACTCAAACAAAATGTCAGTAAAAACTTGTATGGAAAACCTTTTATAACGTCATGAATCGCGTAACGGGCGCGACCTTGGAAAATCGTCAAATGCGACCAAGTTGGCTGCTAAAGTTGATACTGTAAAATTTTGGATAAAACTTGAATAGTAACCTTAAACAAGCATGCACGTATTTTAAATGCACAAATATTTAATACTTTATTTTCTAAAATTTTCTCAAAATGTAACGGGTGCGACATTTGAAAATTTTATCGAGTATTGAAACTCCTCCGTGTTTATTCTTTATGTTAGCTTTTTACCATCACAATGTACGAATATTTTAAGGTTATAAATTACCTCGCAATTAAACTATTTTACTTCAGATATAGTTTTTATTTTGTTAAATAGCACATCTGTTTTTTTGTCAAGGTGGGGTGAGGTTTCGTGGAAATACCCCATGTCAAAATAATACTATATTTTAAGTTACCATCACCACATTTTTTTTTAATAGTTACTATAACTTGATTTGTTTCTATCTAACCATGTAAAATTCCTTTATGGTGGGTACAGGAATAACAAAAGGTGGTGGTGGTAACTCAAAATCTAGCAGGCAAAAAAGTCATAAATTGGATAAAAATGTTTACATGTAAATCTAACCTTTTCAAAATGTACAGGAGCAACAGAGTAACAACGATTTTTGGTTTTGGCAGAGTATCAGATTTTTTCAAATTATTTGATAACCGCTTTTTTTAAATTTTTAAATGCCATTTTAATAGACTTTTAGTCACGCAACTTTTCTCTAATTGAACCGACCTTTTAGGCCTTCAAATAAAAAATATACCCATTCATAAAGGTAACGATTACTCAATATTGTAAAAAATCATTAACAAATCATAATTTTGTTATTTTAGGTAATTTGAAATGTTTTCTTAGGTTTAGTTTTTAAAACATTTATAATTTTATATAATAAAACGAAAAATGTATTCAAAATTGCAAATTTATTTTAAGATAAAGTCATTAGTAAAGTTGGTACCTACCATACAAAATTCTAAAGAACCATGGCATTACATATGCTTAATTAACTAAATCAAAAAAATAACTATTAACTATAGGTATATATTTAGAACGTGGAGAATTTCTAAATACTTCATTTAATATTTATAAAATCAATAATTAAGATAAACTTTAAGATGATCACAGTCCTAAATTAAAACATTTTTAAATTAAAAGTGCATAATTAAACAATTAAGTTAGCCCATGAGCCCAAAAGTAATCTGCTTTTAAATACAGTAAACTAAAACAAATGTTTCCAAAGTTTGAAAGAAACAGTTTGTTGTGTAATAAAACCGGTCATCACTTTCAGAAACATGTTAAAATGCCGTAAAATTGTCACATTTTATCTACCCGCTTTAGACGCAGATAAATCTCTCGATTTGTCAGTTTTGTGTTTACACGCCTCATGAAAACATATTTACTTTTTAAGGTACTACCAGAAAAAAATATGTATACATTCATATTTTAATGAACTATAATCTAAATATTTTTTTCATTTTGTTATAGGTCTTATATGTGGAGAAGGCTCCTGCTGTAGTGGGGAAATGGAGCGTGATATGTTAAAGTATTCTCAATTGTACATAGACAAATATTGGAGAGACTCGATCACTAAATTATACAACTTTTTTGACAATAGGGCCAAAAAATTTGATGGTTAGTATCTGCACATTTTTATTTTTTTTTATATTTAAATGATATCTGAAATGAGATTATAACAATCTTTATTTTCTTTCTTACAGAATTTTTCCGTTCGATAATGCAAAAATCGAAACAAGAATTCCACGACATGTTCAAGAAGACGTACGGCAAAATCTACATGGACAATTCGGACGTTTTTAGCGATTTCTTTCAAGAACTGGAACGTTATTACAAAAAAGGCACGGTGCGTCTATCCGAGACCCTGGACACTTTCTTTGGCATCCTATACCAAAGGATGTTCGTCGTAATCAATTCCCAATACACATTCGACGACAGTTATCTCGACTGCGTATCCAATCACATGAACGAGCTGAACCCTTTCGGAGACGTATCCTCGAAACTGAGCTTGCAACTGAGGCGGGCTTTTGTAGCCACGAAAATGTTCTACAAAGCTCTACAAACTACGTCGAACATTACCATGAACTTACTGGAATATAAGTTCAGCGATGAGTGCAAAAGGGAGATCACCAAAATGCAATTTTGCGGGGTTTGCAAGGGGGAATCCAAAACTCCTTGCTCCAATTACTGTTCAGAAACCATGAGGAGGTGTTTCCATAGTTTCGAAGTTTCCGAGTTCAATAAAAAATGGGATACTTTAATAAGTAAGTAACGTTTTTCATATGCAGACATTTTTCCACGCTAAATTTTTTGTTTCATTAAAAAAAAACATAATTGAGTGCCACTCACAAATGTAAACATCTTGACTCAAATTTTGCTAATTTAATTTTTTTTATTTTTAAAGAAAAAAATCCGGAAATTTACCCAAATTTTTACCCACCTAATCGTTTTCTACTCGTCAAACGCTTTCATTTAATACCCATATCAAGGAGGTTGTAAAGAAAAAGATAATCTGCATCTTGTGGCGGCGCCATATTGGATTTAGTATGGCGGCCGCCTTCTTAAGCAGCATTTTAAGTTTAAATAACTACAAATTTACTATTAAGTCAACTTTAAAGTATTTTTTTACGGTTAACCAAAACGGTTTTACGAAAAATTACCAAATTTGGGGAATGGTTTATTTCGTTATTTTACCTACATAATAACCTTTTCGATCTACTAAGAAACGTAATAAAAACAATTTAAATACCACAAATGTACGTAAAAATAACGCTATAATTACTAACTGTTTGCTCTCCCTTTCTACATTCGTAATTTCTTTGTATGGTACTTACAAAGTAATAAAGGCCACCTTAGAGTAAAATTAAAAAATATATCTAAAATTGTCAAAACGAATAAAATTTTGCATTAAAACTCAAACGCACATTATTTTTTCGATACAAATAGGCATGATACATCCTAAAAATTATGTGCCCCTTAAATATTTTACAGTTTTAAGAAAAATTATTGCTTGGGTAAAATTTCAACAAAACTTAAAACCTACAAAGTTTATAAAATCTTTTTTTAATAACTAAAACTTTCCTTATCATATTTTAGAAAAATATTATATAAATGTTTAGAAAAGTAATGGATGCCATATTAAAGAACTCATTATGGCGACCTGAAAAAAATTTTCCCTAAAAGTTTTATTTTTCACTTTAACCTTTTTTTTCCTTGTTTAGTCAATATTAATGGTATTTATTACCACTAATAACCCTAAAAAAAACAGGCGAATAGGAATTATTTACGGTCATAAAGTGGTCTTAATATCGTAAAATTCTGACGTTAAAATTACAGTTAAATTTTCCTTTAGGTAAAATACATTTATAAATAATTATCTTTCGTAAAAATTACGTGACGTAATTTACGTGCCTAATAATAATTTAAAGTGTTGAAGGGTTAATAAAATTGGTAAAAATAACATAAAAAAACTTATTAAATAACTTTAAAAAAAGTTTTACTTCAAAGTAAATTTAACCAAACTTTTACTTAAATTAAGTAATATTGTCTCAAAGCTCTGCGCTTTTACTTAAAATGATGCTTGTGTTATTAATTTAGTATGTCACTCAGCTTATGGTTTTGTATTCGTCTACCCTTTTATTGAATACCCATATAAAGGGGGTTGTAAAGAAAAAGGTAATCCGCAATTGATTGATTTGATTGACGCATTGAATTGAAAAAATTATTACTGGTATCAAAATTATCCTTTTATTTATACGATTTGCAAAAAAATAACGTTATCAAGAAAAATAGTTCAAAATTGTTTTCAATGATTTTTCATCATTCGTCGATGAAAAATTCTTTTCCCCGAACTCTTCATCTATTTTTTGTTTTGAATTTGTTGGGGATTTTAATTTTTTTGTAAGAATAACTTTTGTTCCTTCTGTTTTTAAATGCTGATTTCCCCCCTTCGCCTATTTATCAAATTTAAAATTCTCTGCAGCTTCTATATTGGAAAAAATAAAAATAATATAATTTGTAGAATAAGCTTATTATTCCCTTATTGATCTTAAATCACGATTAAATAGAAAGAAATAGGAGTGTAATTTCATAGTTAGTTATTACGACTTTCCAAATCTATTGATATGTTTTTATAAGTAACTAACCCTAAACTCTCATCACATGATCATGTTCATATAATATATCTCGTGTGCATATTGAGCAAACTTTATAAAAGTCATGTGATGTTGGCCCAGTATTATTTTTACCGGCGGATATTAATTATAAAGTCGAGTTCAATAACTGTTATTAATGTGCCTGTTAATTCTGACAGCTATGCTTTATTAATTCAATAACACCACATTACAATGTGCTACAAATTGTTTGGAGTGTTACATAATTTAATCAATCCAATTGTCAGGTTTCTTTAATTTGCTCCACTCGCATAATTAATTGTTTTATTTTTTTTTCCAGTCTCAATTGAGAAGGTCGCCGACAGGCTTCTTGGCCCATATAACGTGGAAATTGTCGTCGAACCGATCAACATTAAAATTTCCGAGGCTATTATGAATTTCCAAGAGACCGGCGTCGAAGTGTCGAAGAAAATTTACGGGTTTTGCGGACAACCTTCGCTGAACCGGGTGCAAAGAAAAGCGGAAGTCAACAACAGGCCGGAAACCAATCCTAACGTGGAACTGAATTATGAACCTTTAAAGCCGCACAAAAAGAAGCAAAAGAGTCACAGTAACAATAACGATTTGGCCGATAATAGTCCTTCGTTGGATAAGATTGTCAAGGAAATCAAAATGGTGAGTAAAATACTTAAATATAATTAGAAATGTTTATGCGCGAGCACTTTGATGTTTTATAAAATAAACTTAATTTGAAAAAGTAATCGCGCTTTACAAATAAACTTTGCAATACATTTGATTGCCAATGTTATATCACTTCAGATTAACTTCACAGTTTAGACTGTATGTTTATAACCCTTGGGCTTTTACATAAACTATTTGGCGCTGAATATTTAAATTTTAATTAGTAGAATGAAATGTAGTTCCTGTATTTTTTGTAGTTTTAATGAATTTTCCAAATAATATAAATATGCAGCGCGCTTTAAAGGTTTTTGTGGTCATGATATAAATACAGGGTGTCACCTAATACATTTTCATCCTTTGGGGGGATGATACTACACGCCAAAAGAAAATAGTGTATTATGTAATATTAAGCAAACTTTTAAACTTATTCAAAATCGGTTAGTAGGTACTTTGTTATCATTGATTACTGACAGTTCGGTTGTTATTGTGGTTTATGGTTGGTGGATTTTGGGCACACCCAGTCTCAGTTATTAGACATGGGACCAACATCAAATTTAGATGAGTTTATAACGACATTATATAGACAAGTTCTGCGCATGTTGAATTTAAATTGAAGTTTGCGAAAAAAAGTTAGTTTTTTAGTGTGCCCCCCAGCCTCCTGCCCCCCAATTTAAGATAATTCAGATTAAAGTAGAATGAAATGTACAGTTTATCTAAAAATTTCAAAATTTATTTAAATAGTCCAAGTATTACAGATTTTATACCATTTCTCTTTTTTTTAAAATTTAGTAAAAGAAATAATAAAAATTTAAAATGGTATAAAACCTGTAATACTTTTTTTTTAATTTGAAATTTGTCGATAAACTTCAGTGAATTAAATATTGTACCACTTTAATTTGAATTATCTTAACTTTTTTTCGCAAAATTCAATTTAAATTCTGCTTGCGAAGAACTTGTCTATATAATGTCATTATAAACACACATAAATTTGATGTGGGTCCCATGTCTAATAACTGAGATATGGGTGTGCCCAAAATCCACCAGCCGCCACTGATGAACTACGTATTGTAGGGTACTGAAGTTCGCCTTTTATTTGTAATATTTTTTTACACTCAATAAAGACATTATTATTATTTTGGCGTGTACCACTATCATCCTGTTAGATTATTATGACTTTATTATATTTACTAGATTAAAGTATACATTTAAATTAACGTAAGTAAAGAACCATGTCAAACGTCACATAAATTGCCTTTGTATATAATATTACTTTGAGAGGGCCACACACTAAGGGGTTTGGGGCATATTTTCGTGAGAATCGAATGTATTTGAGTTAGTTTTTAGTCAGGTTTTTTGTCGAACACTCGTTTATGATAATTAGTAAATTACTTAATCAACTATCCGTGTTTAATTAAAATATATCTCTAACAATCCCCTTAAAGGATGACAACAAATTTAGTGACACCCTCTATAAATTTATATCATGTTTGAAATGATCTTTGCAATGACTCCCTTGACTTTCACGGCGACGATTTACTTTTAATTGTAAAGAGCACTTTTGTCTAAACCCGGCTCTTCAAAAACTCAAAATTCTATGAATTACTTGAAATTTTTTTCCGGTCCCTTTAAACTCGACCTTCACTGTAATTGTTATATTGTTTCAGAAAATCCACGAAACTCAAAAATTCTGGCTGAACCTTCCGTTCCAATACTGCAACAACTTGACAGACCCAATCGCACCTAACGCCACCTGCTGGTCGGGCATCGGCACCACGTCGAACCCGAAAGAGACCTCGATCTCGCCTCTAATCAACGAGCAAATCTACATAATCAACACCACCGTGGACAAACTGCGCGGAGCGTACCACGGCGAAGAGGTCGAGCTGCTGGACGACGAGATGATGGAGGGGAGCGGCTCGGGCAGCGGCGACGGCAGAATCTTGGACAGCGACGACGAGGATCTGAACCCCGCGCCTCCCGATCAGGAGAGGACGGAGCCTCCGGTGGTGTTCTCGTCGGAGACGCCGCCCAGCACGCGGCCTCCGGAGGTCGTCCAGACGTCGTCGGCCGGCGCGGCCGGCGACAAGATGTCCCTGTCCAGAGCGCTGGTGCAGTACGTGCTGCCAATCGTGTTGGCGTGGTTCGGCGGTGCCATTACTGACTTGCTGTGATAAGCTTATACTTAGTGTAGGTATATTTATGATGATTCGTGTAAATAAATTAGGACTTTTTGCGGTATGCTTAGGATTCTTTGATAATGCGTTTAATGAACATTTTTGTGATAAGTGTCAGTAAATGTGACTTAATTGAAAACGCCTAAAAAATTCACAGTTAACGACTGAAAAAACATCCGAGTGCCATTGTACTCACAAAGGATGTGTAAACATCTTGGCTAGTACGAGTTTAGTGTGGGAAGTCATACTTTCTTTCTATAACAAAATAATAAGAAATACATCCCAAGCAGCAAAGAATGACACATTTTGGGCAATGTGTCGACACAGCGTCGAAACATGATTTTGGACACGACACATTTTAAAGACACATAGTCCACTTTAAGACCACTAAGTGTGGAAAATGAGACCAAAGTGGTGATGAAAGTTGTACCAAAAAGTGTCCATAGTTTGCCCACAAAATGTGCCCGATTTTTTCTTAAAATTTGCCCACAATGTGCCCGGTAGTGTGACCGATTTATGCCCAAAGAGTTTCTAATTTGTATGTTACCAAATGGTCACCATTTGTTCCGAATTGTTGCCAAGTACTGTATTGTGTCTTAAAATAAACCCAAATGGACACTAACTATTTTTAATTGGAAACGAATTGGAAACAAACTAGATACAAAGAGGCAAAGTAAGGCGTGATGTCTTATTAATAATTATGTATATAATATAATATTATGAAATACATTATAACTTAAATCTAACATTTTTGGTATATGTTACCTTCATTTTTATTGCGAAAAAAATTTTATTGGTGATTATAAGCAAAATACTTTTAAAAATTGATAGGGCCTCACAAATAATAAGTATTTATAATTTTTTTTTATTAAAAATATTTTTTTTTCCTATATTTTTATCAAAACTAGACGTATGTGCCTTCTATGTACAGTTGTATTCATTAAAAAAGCGTACAAGAATTAGAATGAGAGAAAACTGTCAACATTATTGCGTAAAACCGGCTTTCCACTGACTTAAGTCACTATAACTGACAGTAGAAAATAAAAATGCCTCGTCAGTTAAAAAGGCTCAAATAGTATCAAGAATCGAAGAAGAATGGTCAATTCGTACTGTGGTATAATAGAAATAAAAAATCTATATTAAAAATTAAGCAACGCTGGGAACAGGAAGATTTACTAAACCAAAAAGTTGGTTCAGGTCGTCCCAAAGTGTCCACCCCTGAACAGGATGCTGCTTTTTTGGGATATCTGAGGATTTATGGGAAACTATACAACTATACTATACCTACTATACTGCTGGGAAGATATTAATCCAAATATTGTATTAAATTTAATTCAGTTCATCCCAAATAGATTGGCTCAAGTAATAGAAAAACAGGGATGCATGACTAAATATTAAATATTTTTTAATGTTTGTTTTTTTTCATTTCTAAAAGGTAATAATTTTTGTAATATTATTTAATTAACCTACGACGTCAATGCTCTTTATAACCTATAGTAATTATTTTAATGACTTATGTCAGTGATAAGCCGGTTTCAAGCAATAATATTATTTTGACAGTTTTCTCTCATTCTAATTCTTGTACGCTTTTTTATTGAATACAACTGTAACTTAAAACTTTGCATTTTTTAAATTTTAAGTTTAAATTTCACCAGAAAGTTAAATTATGTAAAAAAAATTAAAGCGTCGTATCTGTTTCAACAAAAAAATATGGCGAATTACACAATGTGTCCCTTTGGAACCTAATGCGCCCGCCCCACACATTTTTGAAACAAATCAGACACCATGAATCTAAAATAAAGCCACATGGAAACTTTTGCGTCCACTTGACTCAATTTGGTAATAAAATGGAAACAGATTGATAAGGTACAATATGGAAACATTGAGTCGACTAAGTGTCGACCCTAATGAGTTTAAATTGTGTTACTGTTTCCAAGAGGGCACAAAAGCGACGCAACTTGGGCACATATTTCTGAAATAATGCAACTTAGAACCATACTTTTTTGGACACAATTGGTTTAAAAAGTGTCGACCCAAAGCAACCACAAATTTGAAGAATGGACACAGTTTCCATTTAGACATAAGTTTTCCGATTTGTGTCGAAACAATTTGGAAACAAAAAGTGTCGTGCCCAAGTTCGGGCACAAATTGCTGCTTGGGATTATATCGCGTCCTCTTCAATTTCTTCTAAACATACATGTAATTTTTGGTTTGTGATAAAAATAAGACACATTTCCTAAAAGGTTTTGTAAATTTAGAAAACTAAAAAATTTATATCGTGAAAATTTTGACATTTCAAAAATTTTTTGAAAATTTAAGAACAAATTGGAAATCTTGAAAATATTGATATAGATATTGGGTTATATGAGGTTATCTATAAAATTTTGGAAATTTTATGCTGGATTTATGCAGCACACATTAAAATTAGGTTAACTTTAACATTGAGTTAAGATTAAGCTAATTTAAGGTGGGTATTTTACACAGCAAACGGAAAATTATAGAGGTGTATAGGATGACGCCACGTTTGAATATCGTTTTCTAAATCTCCCTACGGTATAGAGTTGTATTCGTCAGTCGAGCGTTTCAATACTCTCCACAGTATAGAGGTCGTAATTTCACTTTTGAACTAGTATTAATATAAAAATTATTTTATGCTTAAAAAAACTATATACGACATGATTGTGATTTTTTTCATTTTATTAATTAATTAAGCTGTGTTGAATATTTTTCCTAAAGGAATAATTGCCAATGGGCCATTAATTCATTTGTTCGTAGATGCTACAATAACCTGCACTGGTGTGTACTTTTTCATCAACCAGATTTAAATATTACAAAACTAACATATACCAGTGGAGATAGAGCAGGGTCTACCAACAGACCTAATTACTAAATTATTAAAGTTTAATAGCATATCGATCATTTTTTCAACATAACCTCTGAAATTTTTAATACAAATATAGGTACTTTATATAATACATAAATATACTTAACATCATATCCTCTGTGCTTTACATACCTGAGTTGTTACGGTAAATAAAAATCAGACAAAGGAACCAAAGAAAGGAACTATTTTCAACAAAATCATATGCAGAAATGAGAAAATTCAAACTACTTGCATCCATCAAAAGATCAAAACTTCTTGCAATATTACACCCTCTTTTTATACTCTCAGAAATATTGACTAGAACAGTATTAGAGAGACTCCAGTTTCTATAACTTGGTAGAGTAAAGAGAAGTCGAAACCGTTGCGATATTGCATTGCGCTGTTTTTGTATAATTCTCGGGGACATTAACGAAAATCATTGCCAGTAAAATTCGAAAAGCTTGAGTTTCTATGTCTCTGAGGAGAATAGGAATCCGAAGTTGCTGCACCATTGGACTGAACCCTTTTTTAATAATTTCTAGAGACATAAATGACTGCACCATTCGACAGGGTCGAGTTTCTACTCCTCTGTTGAATATAGAAAATCAAAATAATGTATCTTGTAAGACACCATTGAGTTTGACTTTAAATATAGTCGTGCATGGGTATAGAGCCGAAAAATATAAAAACAAAGCACGATTCAATACAGTTATGATAAAACTTTAAGATTTGATATTCAAACGCGGAGTCATCCTATACACTTCTATAATTTTTCGTTTGCTGTGTATGTCCACCTCAAACAATCATTGAATAAAAAATCAATCATTCAGCAGTAAGTTTCATTTTATTTTTGGGTATGTTGGCATTACTGACACGGTTTATTTAAAAATTGCGCCGCAAACCTGCGCAGGAGGAAAAAAAATTAACATTATCATTAAAGCCCGTCTTACAGTCTGCAATTCTACGTGCAATAATCTTGCACGAAGGCATGCGCATAGCGTTTCAAATTATCGGCCCTGCTCTATTTTTTTATTGCCAGTTCAGTTGGAATTGCAAAGTTTTTACAGTCAGCAATAAAACTTGCATGCAAGAAAGTTGCTGCAAGTAATTGCAGACTGTAATACGGGCTTAAGAAGATAAAAGTTGGCCAATTCTTAATGTTAAAGTTAATGTTAATGTGTTGCATAAAAGCTTCCAATGGATTACGTTCATTTAACTTCTTAATGATAATGTTAATCTTAATGTTAACTTAATGTTAATTTTGCTGCATAAATCCAGCATTAGTTTTGTAAATTTTTGGAATTTTGAAAATTATGAACATTTAAAAAAATTTCATACCTATTCTATAAAATTTATGGAAATTGTAAACATTTTATGAATTTTGATAATCTTTAAAATTTTGGAAATTTTAGTTGTGGATAATATTTGAAAATTATGAGTTTTGGAAATTTTGAAAATTGTTTTCTACTAAAAATTTTGAGAATTTTGTAAATTTTCAATATTTTGGAAGATATCAATATTTTAAAATTTTTGGAAATTGAAAATTTCAAAAATTTTGATTACCTATCAGTCAAATTTAAAAAAAAATGGGTATTTTAAAAATTTTAGTTATGAATTTTTTTAGAATTTTGGAAATTATGAAAATCGTGGCCGCCATGTTGGATTCATAATTAAGAGGTAGAAATAAATTAATCCAATATGGCGGCCGCCACTGTTTCATTACCCAAAACACATATGGGAATATGATCCCCTCTATGTTCAAGCATCCGCACTCGCTCATATCAATTTTCCTTGACGTCACACGCACACACTGACACATCTACATGACTTACGCGTGACGCTCAATTTCCCAGAAAGCTCGTACCGCCATGGTATAGATGTTTACACATCAATTATATATAATTGTACAATGAATTAGAGTTGTGCTTAACTGTCGAATTTGGTATGGTGTTTTTACATGTGTAAAGCCGACAAGCAAAATCAAATCTGTGTATATATATGTTTTGTAATATTTCCCATGTAATGTGAAGTTTTTATGTATTTATATAAACGAGAAGAAAATATACAAATTGATTATTTTAAACATATTTATTTTACTTATAAAATTATCATTTTTGTTAATTATAAATCAGTCAATGTAGGATCTGGGCCTTGTCTTCATATAAACATAGGCCACAATGAAAATAAACACAACTGCCAGTGCAGGCAGCGCAATAGAATACACTTGTTTCTGTGTCTCAGCAAACTCCTTCTTTCTTTGTTTCTTTTCTCGCGCTGATTCCTTCTGTTTTCCTCCCTTCAGCTGTCTCATACTGTACCCCTACAATTAAAACGTAATTAAATCTGGGGTACCTACCAGAGATATTCCCAATACCTCAATATATCTTTTTAAACAAGTTTTTTTAAACTACCTATATTCAGGATAAAAATACTTTTTTTGTTAAATAAGGAATTAATTTACTAATTATATTTTAAAACAGATATACCTACATTTCAAAAAAACATTTAAATAAATAAGGGACAATCAGAATTTTCAGATTTGTATGCCTACCTTTAATTTTAATTGGTACAAGTTACAATTAGATATTGTTTAAAAATGGTGGTTAAAACCTGGGAAAAATAGGTAGGTAAAGTTTTATTTATTAATTTTTATAATACATGCATATATTCAAAACGAATTCACTAAGAGAATTAAAAAAGTTAACTATAGTTAACTTGATTATTGATATATCAATACTGTATTGACAATACACATACTATGTAATTGCTAAAAGGTATTTGGCCCGTTCTCAGGTATCTCTTAATTAGAAAGACCGTAAATATTTTAAAATTTTAATTGGTGTAGAGAGTCTAACGTGTCTTCTACTTAAATTATTTCATTCTCTAGGTGGTAGTCAAGATCAATTTTTGTTTAATTCCTGTTGTGCACATTTCTATTCTATTTCTATTAGTGCAATTAATTAATTAAAATATACCTACCTGCTTAATACCTCGTCACCGTGCATAATGCATTTAGTGCCGGAAAATTATCTTGTTCTCAAGTGTCAACAAAGCTATATAAAGAACTCTCTAAAAATAAATTATATTTATATCAATAAAATTTTTAAATATAAATTGTATTGAGAGGGTTGCAACGTCTATTACTTAACTTTTGGGTTATTTAGTAGGTCGCGACCCACTAAATAACATACAAAGGTTGAGAAACAATGAAGATTAAATAATTATTAAAATAAATACCTATAGGTATATATAATTTTTCGCACGAATAATTATTTTTTATAGGATGAATAATTATTTATTTCTAATAAAATAAACAGCTTTAATTAAATTTTCAAACAAAACTTGGTATTTTTTTGCGAAAAGCAGTATATTTTATAAGTCATTAAATATAATTTTGAAGTTAAATTTTATCATAAGTAGGTATATCTATATGTTATGATATATAACGTAGGTGATCTACCAACTTGAATTAAAATAAATTTAAATAGGTATAAATAAAATGTTATCCTAAAACATATGGTAGGTAATAAATAATCAGGTAAATGGTGAAAAAATCAAAATAAACAATACTATTTTAGCCGAAAATTGTAAAAAATAAATTCAAAATAATAAAATTATGTATATTTAAGTAGCAAAACTTACTGTAGTTGGTCCCAAAAGTAAAAAATAAAGCGATACAAAAACTTTGCCGATTGCTGACGTTTTCACTTACGAACTAGGTTATGTTTTTAATTGACGTGTTCAACAGGTAGTTGCATTCGTTTTATGGTTGCATTCTTCAGATAACAGTCTTTGTTTCCACTAATTTTAATTAATTTTTATTATTTTTGCGGAAATTTATTTAGTTACATACAAATTGTCAGGGCCGAGCCGTGCCGGGGGTGCAAGGGGTGCATGGCACCCGGGCGGCACTAACACAGGGCGGCAAAATATCATCAAAAAAATTGTATCATATTATCAAGAATAAAAAAGCCACCTTGCAATATGCAAAAAACTTTCTAAAAATCACTTGCGGTTTATTGATGTCGGCGTTTCAAGGAATCATCGTTTTTATTCTACACACACAGAAAGAAAAATTTAATAAATAGTTAATAAATACATATAAGTAAAAGGCATATATGCTAACATACAGTATAGCAATATACTAAATATATTACTAAAATTATTTTAAAAATTGTATTCTAAATAATAGAATGTGGTTTTCTTAATAGTAACCTGGGATAAGTTAAAGGCTATTGATTTAATGTTAGTGGATGTAGGTTTGTTGTTAATATACTCAGTTTGTTCCAAATATTTATAAAAATATCAGATATTATAATATAAATTGGTAACTGTTATTTTACGTTAAATAAACTTAAACCTTGGTATGCTGATATTAAGTTTAAGTTGCAATAATTATCATTTGAATGTTATTGCAAAATATAATATTCTTTATAATATGAATCAAAAATTAACTTTTAGGAGATAAATTATAACTATCATTATAACCGAGTTGTGCGAAAAGTAAAAAGGTAACTATTAGCGAATGAGTTATTAACAGCTGATAGGCATGATATACGCCAATGGCGTATATCATGCCTATCAACGTAACGCCATATAAGTCAGTGAGAATACTCATGCGGTGAGGTTGATATAATGACAGACCAGAATTAGAGAAATTTGGGGTTTGTACTTACTTATTATAAATATCTAGTTTTGCCTTTCTAAAAACTGTGCTATATAGGAGATATGCCATAATTAATACGCCGAAATTGTGTTTTTCCACCATGATAGAAGTAAAAAGCGTTTGAACCATGAGGTTTTTTGTTGTTGTTTTCTAAACAATTAGGTAATAGTTTATATTAGTATTAATAATTATTATTATATAAATTGTTTTAATGCTGGTGGATGTACATAAGTATTTGTTAAATTAAATTTCGTATTTATACTTTTTAAGCATGCTGTTTGCATAATCATATGCTAACATAATACTTACTTTCATAGATTAACTATTAGCTGATGGAAAAATAACTGATAACTCAGAAAATGTGATTATTATAATAAAATACTAATAGAAAACCAAATAATATAACAGTTAGTATATACAATATTTAAAATAATAAGGTAATTTTAATAGTTATTAAAAGTCGTTTTTTCGCGCAAATACCATGAAATACTATGGTTATTAAACTTAACTTTGGTTAATAGTTAAGGCATTTTTGCGTTTAGAGTGCGTTCAAAAATCCTAACTATGACGTCACAAATACCAGACCATAAAACTATATCGCTGAGCTAGTTATTCAACGTGGTTAATAGTCTTTCTCTTTTTAATATATATTTTTCTGTTTTGATCTGTCAAAAAGTTGTTTACATTTGAAATTTAAAATATTTTAAGTAGGTACAATCAAAGATAATATATCTTTGGGTACAATCAAAGATATTATATTATATATATATATGTATTATCTATTATATATATGTATTATCTATTATATTATATATATGTATTATCTTTGGGTACAATTGCTCTTAAACCGAATTTAAACTTTGTATTTAAATGATAAACGGGGTGTTGTCAGTGAAAATAAATGATTGGGTGCTCCATATTGTGGAATCTCCACAAGAAGTGGAGGAATTATATGCAGGTTTGTTTTATATTCTTCCTTATTTGTATTAAACGTGTATTGAAAAAACTAGTAGGTATAGAAAAAGAATATACTAGGTATAAGAAGAGGCAAAGAAATTTATTTACACCGGTAAAAACATAGAAATTAAATATAAATAGGTAAAAACACATTTAAAAAATTATAGGTTATGAACAAGTAAACAAATGTCAAATGTTAGAAACCTAACCATGGTTATATGAATTAACTGTGACGTCATGACTTATTTAACCGTAGTATTAGATAGTATTCACGCGAAAAAACGACTAAAGTAATTTAACTATTAATATTTCAAAACCTTTCTATTAATAAATAAAAGGTAAGATTAAGTACTTCTTTATACCTTGTAGTATTATGACTGTTAGTTTATATAGGTTTGGCAGAATACGAATCCACTAAAGGGTAACTATTACCTTGTAACAGTTAATGTTATTATTTCTTTTTCTCTGTGCATAAAAACAATACCAAAATTGTGCTGTCAGGCGGCAATGATAAAAAAGACATAACCGAACGCGCGATAGCCACAAAAAATGATGATGACAATTTTCTTAAAGCCCGTTTTATAGATTGCCGCCCGCCCGCTTCGCTTTCCGTCCGTCCGCTTCGAGTTCGTCAAGTTTCATGGTTTACGGAAGCGGGCTTACGGGAAACCAATCAAATCGCGCGCTGTGTACCCCGTGATATTGTTTACAAGCTGAACTCAGGGTTGCCAGGTATGGCTAATTTTAGCCAAAGTGGCTACTTTTTAAAGCCAATGGCTAAAAAAATATCAGTTTGGCGTATGGCTATAAAAGTTGGCTATATTTCAAAAGGGTTTGGTGATTTTTTGGCTAATACAGGCAACAACTGCTAATACATGATAGATGTACTGTATTTTCAACATTTGAGTTTTATTATTTATTAATACGAGTACTTCGTTCAAAACAAATACGGCCGTGTGGTCTAGGTTGCCTGCACGTTTTCACAGGCATACTCGTACCTTTTTCTAAGATACTAGTTCTCTAACCTTTAAAATCTGTGGATCTTAGCTATTAATCTCTTCTTTTTTTAAGTATTTAATGAAATGTTTTAAACAAATAACTTATTTGAAATAAGTATTAAATGTTATTAGATCTAAATATAATTAATGCAGAATCAGAAGATTACTTAACAGGAAGTATAAAAATTATTGGTGATAATTTTACAGTTCCTTGTATTTCAGAAAATTAGTTTTTGTTTTTATGTAACCTCGCAAGAAAAACTAATTTTCTGAAATACATGTGACTCAAGTCTAATAATTTATGATGTTAATTAATTTTATAGAATATGTATTTTGTTTTATTTAAATTATATACAAATTTTATTTTTGTTAATTTGATATTTTTGTTTTTAACAGTTGGCTTATTTTTGGCTATTTGTTTTTTTTTAACAGTTGGCTATTTCATGGCTATTTTATTCAGTCCAACTGGCTAAATTGTATTTTACATACCTGGCAACCCTGGCTGAACTGTTAAGTTAAAGCATAATTTCTTCCGATTTGACGGCTGCGTATTTTAGCAATTTTTAGTTTTTCTATTAACGTGAGGCAAATAGGATGCAAACATAGTAGTTTCTTTTGTCTTTTAATGCGTTTAAGTTAAAAACTAGTTAATGATTTAAAAGGCATCTTTCCGAATTTATTTGTAGCTTTAAGAATATTTTTGACGATGCCAGTTACTGTTGCCCATGAAGAGCGGTCATTTTCGAAATTAAAACTAATTAAGATCCAATATGAGTCAATTCAGGCTTTCAAATTAAGCAATTATAAGTATTGAAGAAGATATTTCTAACAACTTGGATGTAGGCGACTTGATTAGGGAATTTGCTATTAAAAAAGCGAGAAAAGTAGATTTTTTACATTAATGGGGGCGGCAAATTTACGTCTTGCACCCGGGCGGCAGATACCCTAGGCTCGGCCCTGCAAATTGTATCATACAATTAATTAATAATAGTATGAGTTTCGGTTTTGTAGCTTGTGGTGTGCGCTTTGCTCAATGAAATAGTATGAAACATAGATGACTTTTCGACCCAGGTGGATTCCCGGTATAGAAATTACTGTATATTTCTATATTATATACCTGTATTTTGGGATATCACAAGTTTTGACCTTTTAACGAGGTATTTTGTGATTTGTACATTACACTAAGCACATGGACCTTGGTCAATAAGAGCTTATTTGACCAATTCTCTCAAAAAAGGGAATAAACTGTTTTAGAAGAAAAAGTATAGGTATTATGTGACCAATGGTGGGACAAAAATTTTTATTCAACTACCGCAAGGAATTTAAAGCCAAATCTAATTCAGATGATTTGAACTGTCGAGCAATTTTATTCTAAGTAACTTTTTCCAATTTGAACTTAAATATATAATATCAAATATCCTTGCGATAGTTAAATAAAATATTGTGTGCCACTATTGCACTTGTCGCTCGAGGAATCTCCTCTTTCTCCCAATAGTCGCACAAATTACCTACTATTATTTATTTGTATGAAGGATGAAATAAAATAAAACGCAGCATATCTTATAACTTTATTTAATCTCTATTTTAAATAAAGTACATACATTTAAAAACAATAAATACAATTCTATCGAAGATGGTCATACCTAATTTATAAAAAATAAATCGATAAAGCTAACACTTAACGAATAATCACACTCTTTGCTGAAGCAGCTCTTCTGGAATATTATACAAACTTAAAACTGGGTAATAAGTAGGTGTAGGCTCTACAAAGTTGTCAGTTATAACAATAGGCTGTGGAGGGGCCAACACAGTCCCTGGGGGATTTCTGTGAGGCATGCCTGTGGGTGGAATATCCTGCCTTGTCCTGCAAGTCACACTTGTGTTTATGCCGTGTCTTCGTTTCATGTGTTTGTTGTAATTTGGCCAATTCGTAAAATGATGTTGACATTCGTTGCAAGAGTATGGTCTTTCGCCTGTATGCTGCCTTCGATGAGTAGTAAGTACCCCTTTGAATCTGAAACATTTGCCGCAGAATTCGCAGGTGAATGGCATTGCGCCCGTGTGAATTCTGTGATGTTCTTTTAAAGTTCCCCTCTCTCTGAAAGTACGACCGCACACATCGCATTTATGTGGTTTGAGGCCAGAATGAACAGAATCATGTTTTTTCAACCTTAAAAGAGTTTTAAACGTTTTCCCGCAAATACCGCAGTTAAACGGGCGCGTTGGGTTATGAGTCAACAAATGATTGTCTAGGTTCCCTTTCTGAACGAAACTTTTACCACACTGATCACAAGTATAATCCCTTATCCCAGTATGTATCCTTTTGTGAGCCATGAGGTTCGGTTTGGTGCCAAATCTTTTCGGGCATTGATCGCATTGATATCTGTTCTTCAACTCCGCAGGTAAATGAGATCTGGCGTGTACAATAAGCGCGGACTGCATTCGAAACCTTTTGCCGCAAGTGGAACATACATGCGGCCTTTCATCCCCATGCTCAGACCTGTGCTTTTCCTGCTCACTAACCGTATTAAACCATTTGTTGCAAACGTCGCAACAGTACTTTAACTTTACTCTGTGCGTTCTGATATGCGTCAGAAACGTGCTGTACTTGGTGTATATTTTGGGACAGTCGGCGCAGAGATAACGCGGCGCGCAGCTGTGCACGGCGGCGAAGTGGTCGCGCAGGTCCTCAGAGCCCGGCAGATTTTGATGGCAATCGCTGCAAGTCCACGGATACGCGTCCCAACCGATTAAACTTGATTTTGGCCGAAGAGACCCGTCTGGATTTATATCGAATTCGTCCAGATCCGGTAGACTTTCCAGGGTGGTGTCTTTTTTCTTTGATGATTTCTTTGCCTAAAATAAACAAAATTAAATTTTCGCGTCATGTCGGCCTAATTCCAAAACCTCGTAACTATAATTTATGACAAGATTGAGTTAGAAGCACTGCGGTGCTCCTAACTCAATTTTGTCCAAAAGACATGTCTTGCTAGGAAAAATAGTAAACACTATTATAAAAATCAGATTTGTTAAAATGAGTTTGTAGTTTGTTAATTTTATTTTGTAAAATTTTTTGTAGAAAACCTGGGTTTGTAATTTTAACAAAATATTTTACTGAAAGTTTTGTAAACGTATACGTATATATTATAATATGCAATTTTGTAAGCATTTTGTTAATTTCAAAGGTTGAAGATAAATCCATTATATTTTTTTTGTTCCAATCCAATCCAATAGACAATCGAGAAAACTTATTGGATATGATTAATGTTCAGACATTGTGGAGCATTGGCATCCATAAGAGTAGAATCCATATATCAAATTTGAAATAAAAATTGCCGCAAGGTCTTTTGTTACTTATAATAAAGAATGAATATTTTCATTGGAAATCTAAGAATTGTTTACAAAAAAACAACATTCCAAAAATCATTACTAGGAAAGTAGGTACTTAATAATATTAAAGTACTTGATATTAAGTTAATATTAAGAGCTCAAATCTTCAGTGAGTCATTATTTTGAAGTAGAGAAATGTTCCAATTTTTTTTTTTAAATCCGCGGTGGTCATACTTTAAAAAAATTATTTGGTGTAATGACCTATACATATATTATGTAGGCAAAACACGCACCAAATTTGTTTTTGTTTACTTTTTTTCAATGATATAATATCAAGTCACAAAAAATATAACAAGAACTCCTCTGATAGAGCAGAAACACTGTGCAACTCCTTTCGTTTGGTCCGGTTATTTTAGGACACCCTAAATATATAACTCTTATTTTTTTGCAAAAATTGGGACCCCCAACGGTTGCGACCCCCAGGTTAAAAAAAACAATTTTATAGTGATATAAGGTTTTTAGACATAAATAATTTATTTATGCAAATTTGAAAATGGCAATAAAAAACTTCTGATAAATAAAATGCATATAATCATTTGGTAATTTTAGAAAATTAAAATCAGATGTGCCAGTTAAAAAATAAAACCAAATTGTTTAAGTGTGATTTTTTTATTTTAATAATACTTTTCTTATTATCATTATCATTTAATAAAACTTCTATTGTCTTTCCCAGTTATAAAAAAATAAAATAACTATTAAAATAGCAATAATATTACATATTATTTTATACTTAAAAACAAATTTCCATTTCAATTTGAAAAAATGTTTAAATCCATATGAATTTTTTAAAATATTTTTTTTAAATAAAAATCGATAAAAATAGAAAAATTTAAATTTTTGTTTTTTTATAAATACTGCTCACAAAACCAAAGTTTTGTTATTTACTTACTTTTTTCTCAGTCTTGGTAATCTTTAAAATTGGGGCTACATCCTCAGCCTTGATAAACAAATTACTCTCCTCAAATTCACATTTTAAATTAACAGCAGTATGTTCATCAAAGGACAAACTAGTCTCATTATCGTCCACACAATCATTTGAATCAACATATTCATTGGCTGACAATATGGTGTTTGCCAACTCATTTAATATTTCCTGAGCTTTCTGAATGTGGTCATTGAATTCCCATGTTGTTTGTACCAAGTCATAACATTTTTGACATATTGTTGTGGGCAGTCTGTCATTATTGGTGATTTTGATTTGAAAGAGATGAAATATCTTCGATGACAAACTGGAATTTTCCAATACCGAAATTCTATCGACGTAACATTCTGCACATAAGCGACAACGTGTCTCCATAACATTCATTTGGGCTCTTTTAAATTATAACACTCACCAAACAATCATCTTTATTTACCTTTAAATAGCATCTGTCATAACAATTTAGGCAAATGGTTTATTTCCCATATTTTACCTTATCCATTGAATATTTTTGGGACCTTATACCAATTTTGACTCCATTGCATGTTTAATCAACATATATTCTTTAAAAACATCTATTTTTATTAATGTAATTAGGAAATGTCAAACCCTAACCTCTCTTTTTTAATTAGATAAATCTTATGAAGTTAGGCGCATTTTAATATACAACTCGTTTTAATTTGAACCCTCCTTTTTATTTTGTTAGCATTATATAGCTTTTCTTTAATAAAAAAATAGGTAAATATACTGAACATGACGGTAAATAGTCAAATTTAAAATTAAAAAATAACTGTGAAGCTAGCCGTAAAAACAACTTGACAGTTGGTATTTCAAAATTCCCTAAATTGACTTTAGTAACATGTAAATACGTCAAATCTTCCATTTAGCAAATTTTAAATTGAGATAATTTTAAGTATTAATTGGTAGATGTTAAACATGGATACGTTATACAACCAAACTAATAGATTAATTCAACAAACTCAGCAAGTATTCCAAGGTTTAGAAGGCAATAACGTTAATGCAATAGAAATTGAAAATGAAATACAGGAAAAAATTAACTTAATTAATAGGTTAGTACATTAATAAATAAAATAACAATATTTAAATCAATGTTTCAATAGCAATTGCGAAAAACTCGACACCTACCTATATAAATTATCAATGGATCAGAGACCCAATGCCAAAATGCGATGTGATCAACTAAAATATGATGGTAAACATTTGCAAGCTGCGTTGGTGTCATCTAAACAAAAAAGAGCAAGACGAGAAGAGGCTGCAAATGAACGAGAACAATTATTGAATAGACGATTCACAGCAAACCCAGATTTAACTGCAATAAACATTGACTATGCCATACAACACCAAAATTCCTTAAATAATGCTAATCGAGGAATGGATGAAATGATTAACACAGGTGCTAATGCATTAGAATCTTTAAGAAATCAAAGAATGACACTAAAGGGAGCCCAAAGAAAAATTATGGACATGGCTAACACTTTGGGTTTAAGTACTTATACTATGAGGTTGATAGAAAAAAGAGCATCTGAAGATAAAGTTATTTTGATATTGGGTGTTGTTGTTACACTGATTGTAATTTTAATAGTCATAATTTATTTCACATAGTAACCTACATTCCTGTTTTAATAACAGCATTTTAATATATTTTATACTGATAAGTCAATAAATTATTGTTTTCATAAGGTTTTGTAATTTTGTTATTGGCAATATTGTCGAATTTTCTTACATTTGTTATAAATTGTTTTTTCTTCTATGGTTAAGCCTGATTTATAGATTGCCTTCCTTCTTTCCTCCCGTAGAAAATACAAAAACCTGTTGTCCCGTACGGGAATCTATAAATGACACTACGATTTTCTTCTACGGGAGGAGGGAAGGAAGGCAATCTATAAATCAGTCTACATTGATTAATAATGGGAACATTTATTAAAAGTATGTTGGCAACACTAACTGGTGTAAGGAACATTTATTTTAAGTTAGTTGGCAACATTGGTAATATTATTAAGTTGGTAACCTAAAACAAATTAACCAACATAACAAAATTACTTTACCCAACCCCTTCGGGTTTTAATTTGTTACCAACCTTATAACATACAAACAAAAATCTGTCAAGCGGCTTTTAGAAAGGAAATAATTTTTTAATCGAAAAAATGAGTGTCATTAGTAAGTTGATGGTATATCTGGTTTAAGTTGTTAAAAATTTTGTTTTAGATAATGAGGAGCACAGCTTTATTGCTCCAACAAAGCAAATTAAAACATTTGGAGATATGAGTAGTTGGGATAAATCTGAGGCCTATTTTGTAAAAAGGAGTATGGCAGTAGTTAATATAGTAATAAACTTTTAATTTTAGGAGTATTTAGGTTTTATTCATGCAATAAATGAGTCAGTTAAGGGTATAAGTAATTCGGATGGGAGTAAAGATCCTTCTCCTGCTATAGAAAAATGTATGGAAATGTTGGACACATTGGACAAAATGATAGATGATATTCCACCCATAGATCAGCCCCAAAGGTTTGGTAATCAGGCTTTTAAAACATGGTACCAAAAACTAAAAGATGTAATAATTGGATTAATGTTATAAAAATTCTCTTATTGGTTTTCTTTTTTAGGATATATTTGATATTTTACAAAAACTTTTGCCTCCTACTCATTACAGAGCAGTACCGGAAATTATGGAATACCTAAATGAAGCCTTTGGTAATTCTACCAGAATTGATTATGGTACCGGACATGAAATTTCTTTTGTAATGTTTCTATATTGCCTATTTAGAATTAATTTTCTTGTTAGTACTGATAAAGCTGCAGTAGCATGTCTGGTTTTTGTTAGGTGAGAAATATATTAAAAGGGTTTTTTATTATGGCTAAAAATGAATTTAATATTATTTTAAGGTACTTGGAAATAGTCAGAAAATTACAGATGACCTATAGAATGGAACCAGCTGGAAGTCATGGAGTTTGGAGTTTAGATGACTATCAATTTGTGCCATTTATTTGGGGTAGCTCCCAATTAATTGGTAATAAATTAAAACATAAATTAATACAGCCATTCAGTACATATTTTTTTATAGATAATCCTTACATTGAGCCTCAACATTTTTACAAAGAAACCATTGTAGAAAAGTACCAGAATGAATATATGTTCCTAAGTTGTATAAAATATATAAACATGGTAAAAAAAGGCCCATTTGCAGAACACTCAAACCAATTGTGGAGTGTGAGTGGGGTGGCCAATTGGAGTAAAATAAATGCGGGTCTAATTAAAATGTATAAAGCAGAGGTAAGGATTTATTTATGTTTACAAATAAGTAACTGGATATTAAAAAAACAGGTTTTGTCCTGCCAAAGTAAAAACTTATGCCAATAAATCTCTATGGAGTTGTAAATAGGCATTTCACAGAAAAAGAAAACCTTAGTTTATGTTGTGATTAATGAAAAATCAGGCATTTTCTGTTACATTTATTTCAATCAATCTAGAAATAATTCTTGGACAAAAGTGCATCACTCAAGGCTTCACAAGAAAGTAAAAAACTAGTGATGCAACGGTTTCGGGTTTTACGGTTACGGTTACGGTTAGCTATACGGTTACGAATAAACTCACGGTTATTCAAAAAAAAATTACAGAATTACGAAAAATAAAGTTTTGAAATTAATACACACGTTCAGTAAAGGTTAAATAATAATTTATGTAAAACAAAAACAGAATTTCTAATAAAACTGTAAAACAATAGGAAATGAGTTACATTTTAAACCTAAAAACAGTAAAGTAAAACCTAAGTAGGTACCTGAATAATATATTTAAAAATATAAAAAAATTAAATGTTAATTTAAAATAATTCAAAATTCAAAATTTACGAGTCAAATTTTTATTTAAAAAACATAACATCTGCAAATTCTGCGGAATCAGCCTGTTCCTATTTGGTGTTTGCACAAGACCTGCAGTCGAAAACAACATCTCCGAATTCACTGACAATGGTTTGTATAATACTTTAGTGCCAACACTCTTAAACGCCGAAACGTGTAACACGTTTTCCAGAATGTAAACGGATTTGACTTAGGTGGTATATTTGGTAACGTTAATTACTCCTCAATCTTTTTTTTACATGCATTCACAAAGTAGCATGAAAAACCGTAAATACGGTTACGGTTAACGACATACGGTTACGGTTAACCGTATAATATCGAAAACCGTGAATTAACCGTAACCGTAACCGTTGCAACACTATAAAAAACCCCATTTTGCGTGCTCCTAAATAATGTAATTTTTTTCGGTTTCGTAGCGGAGCTTTGCCTTTACCAAACTTTTTGGATTTGACATTTTTATTTATTTTGCGTTCTAAATAAGCAATGAATTTTTTTCAATATTAAATAATATTTTTTTAAAGGAAATTATTTTTGAATTCCCTGGAAATGGCACACTATAACAAAAATTACAAAACATTTTTTTGACTGGTAGTAAACTAGGTTTTTAAAATTATATTATATGTTTTTTTATTGTTTTGAGACTCTTTATTTTCTAAAAGTTTGTTGATTTAATGAAACCTTATAAAAATTAATTCAAAATTTATTTGCGTTCTAAATAAGCAATAGATTTTTTTCAATATTAAATAGGTAATATTTTTTTAATAGGAAAAGATTTTTTAATTTCTTGGGAAATTACACACATTTTTTTGACTGGTAGTTTAAGATTTTTAAAATTATATTATTATGTTTTGTATGTTTTTTTTCTAAAAGTTTGTTGATTTGATGAAAATTTTATTTTTTGTCACAAACTGCTAAAAATACATCTGTCAACCATTCCTTGGGTATTGTTGCCAAAACAACTAACGGTTGTATGATATGATTCTGTACATGATACAAGGTATCATGATTCTGTAGGTTCTCGCTATAACCGTTGATTGAACGCAACTCCATAATTAATAATTTTTAATCGTTTATTTGGGTTTGTTGTAATGGATGAAAACAATTTTAAAAGTGTATTCTGCTATTAAAAGTAAGATTATGTAAAGTCGAGGCAGGTAGTGTAGTGCATTTTTTATTTAAGAGTTCGCGCTGCCGTATTTTTTAACCGATTTCGATAAATAACTGGTATTAAAAGGATAATTATCGACATCCAGCTACTTTTTTGCCATACGAAGTTTTTATGTACGAAGGTACTATTTCAGTTCATGTGACTTTGTTAAACTAGGGCGAGCTCATTTGGTCTTAATGGCTGCTTGTTTGTCGATTTTGGTTACAGAGGCTGACTTTTTGCCCCGACTTTTTATGTCGACTTAAGAATATCTATAAAAGTTGAAATAATCGACTACTATCTGACGCCTACAAAATATTTTTTGATAAAAATAAATTTTTAAAAATTTTATCTATACCTAGATAAAGTACCGGTATAATTAATATGATTTTTAAATACTAAGGTGTCGGGGGGCTATAGCCCCCAAAGCCCCCTGTAATCCAGGGCTGGTGCGTGTGCCAAAAAGTACTTACACCTAAGATAAAAACTTAACTGTAAATGTAAAGTGCAATGTTCAAAGGGGCATATCTCTCTACAAAGCATTTTTGACACCATGTTCTTGAAAACTTTTTTTATATTTTCCGCTGCAGAATCACTTCTTAATATTTTTGGATGCAATTTGGACACAACCTACAACACCTACATACTACTTCTCATTGAATTGTGTACTTTTTTAGGTTCTTGCTAAATTTCCAGTGGTCCAGCATATAGTGTTTGGATCGCTTTTTACCTTAAAACCAGCAAGTTTAGATGCAAGTATTAGAGTGCCCCCACTTCCAGTAAATACAAAGAGGTTTCCAGCAACATACAGCCAAAATAAATTAGAAAATAAATCATCAGAAGAAACAAATCCAGAAAACCAAGACCAGTAAACGAAACTTGAACTTTATTTATTTGTTATATTATTAAATTAAATATGATTATATTGTAGTTTTAATAAATAAAATAACAAAACGTAAAAATGAGGTATTTTTATTTTAGGAACTTTGGTTTAAAAACATATACATAAATACATTACAAATAAATAAAATATAATAAATAATTAATTAAGACTAGGTAGAGGCAAGGAATAAATACTGCATGTTACTTTCTAATTTTGGTAATCTTAGTAAGGCAGCTAGGTAGACTTGTGTTACTTAGATGAACTCTATTGGCATTACAAATATTAACACTACCAACACTTTCAACAGAATCACTTTTACATTTATCGGTTCGTCTTGAACTAATTTTAATATTGTTTCCTGTAAAAGTTGTGTTTTTTTCTAATACAGAATCACCAAGGCAAACTTTTCCACAGTTTCCAATATATTCAATTCCCCCATTTCCACTGGTAACTATAACTTTATTATTATCACCGACGATCCTTAATTGTCCCAAGTTTTCTTCGCATTCAACTTTGCAGTTATTCCCGATGACCACCAACTTTTTCGTGTTGCATTTCACCGCCACACTCAAATTATTTCCGACGTACTTTTTTGTTTTTTCGAAGGCAGACATTCTGTCTATTGGCACGACCATTTTTCCACCTTATTTCGGATTGTTATGTCGTTTGAACGGTGCGCGCTTGGTTTATAACGCGATTTTTATTGGTATTTACCGCGGCTCGTGTGAACTGACGACCGAGAATTCGGCGCTGATAGCGCGAGTTCCTCTACCGCTGTGATTTTCCTCGAGGGGAATCACCATTGTCATGCTATTCTAATTACTCGAGGCGATTGTCGGTGACGATTTAGATATATGCTTTTTTCGGGGAATTTCATTCTTATATAATACCAAAACAAACATTTGGTGGAGCCGGACATAAACGCGTCCAAATAAAACCCCATAAATTAAAAAATTAAAAACTATTTTTATGATAATTATTAGGGTAATTAATTTTTTGCAGTAGATACTGCATATGAGGACCCTAAAAGCCAAGGGGTATAAGTACATTTTGTTTAGATTTGAGATAATCATGTTTAAAGTAAAAAATCACTTGTAATTTGAAGTCAAAATTGTTTGTTGCTTTATGACTTTGTTTTTCAAGATGTCTAAGCTTATAATTCAGTTTTATTCCTTAGATACCAAGTAAAATGTACCATTTACTACCTTTTTCTGTACATAACTACATTTTTTTTTAAATGTCACTTATATCCATTGGCTTCTAGGTTCCTCATATAATAATAGGTTTAAATTTTAACATAATTTTCAAGACGGTTATTAATACGCTGTGGCTCCCGTCCCGAGGCGGGACTTAAGTTCAGTCCCGATTGACGTCATAATTTTAAGATTTGTTATGTTATAATAAAATAATAATAATAAATTGTACCTGTATACATGTTAAGGGCACTTTAGTTACGTCATAAAACCAAACCAACCCAAACTCAACAACACAACCCAACCGACCCCGCCCCATTGGCCCCCCCCCGCCCCATTGAGCAAAAAACCCAACTAAAATGGGCAAATTTATGTTACGATAAAAATAAAACACTTTTTAACAAAGAAACAACAAATTTATAAAATAAAAAAAATAAAAAAAGTTTGACAACTTCTAGTGGGATCGAACCCGGTACCTCTCGCATGCCAAGCGACCGCCCTATCATCTAAGCCATCGAGCTTGACACAAATTATAAAATCTCGGGGAATAAAAACCGATTTACAGTGTGTGACGTCAATCGGGACTGAACTTAAGTCCCGCCTCGGGACGGGAGCCACATCGTTATTAATAAGCAAAATTTTGCTTAGAGTCCGGCCTCTATTGTGAGATATTTGTTTTGGATATTCTGTGAAACGTGCATGTTTTACAGGTGGGATTTTCCAATATTATCTATCTGAATATTGTAAATAATTATATCATCAATTGATAATACCAAAAAAATACACGAAAACCACTTCAATTTATAGAGAAGGTACCTACCTACCAAGATAATTAAAAAAATATTTGTCTAAAAATATAAAAAACCCAGGTTTTAAAAATATTCTTAAAATAGGTCTTTTTAGAACATCACACAGACTATATATAATATATTATAATATGTAAAATATTTGGTCGTCTGGAATCTACTTCATTGTGACACTGCTGTTAATTTTTGTTCCTGCGATAATTTATAATTTTAAGTTGTGTTTTCCTTCTCTGCAGAACCATGGTTATGCCAAAATGATGATGCAGCACGAGTTTTTTCCCAGCGCTTTCCCGATCGTCCCTGGACTGCAAAGTTGATATGCGTTGTAACAAAATTGAATGTGCTCCTTAACATATTAGAACAGCGGAAAATAAAGATTCTATTTTTAATGCCTTTGATGCAAATAGTGGGAAGAGCATAAGGGAAGTTGCACGCTAATTTTCCGTTCACAGTTCAACGAGTTATGAAGGACGTTTATTTTACGCGCACCTGCAGCTGGAAGATAATCCCGCTAAAGTGGAATTCTGTAGTGGTTGCTAGAGATTTTGGCTCGGGGGTACAGAACTAGTTGTTTAATTTTTACTTTAAAACATTAACGTCCTGAAGTATGACATTCTTTTTTAAAAGGTTAGTAAAACAGTCGGGCAAACTATTTTTAAAAGACAACAATGTTCTATCGTCTTCTAAAAATGTTTAAAGCTCCTGCGTTTAACCTAGGCGAAAGCTCTCGGTATTTTTAAATTTTTTATCTCCATTGCTATCAGCACGCCCCCAGAAAGTGTGTTTGTTTTTTTGCATAGAGGTATGGGCCGGAGTTACTTTTTTTAAACTTGTTTTTCATATTCCGTAAGAACGCCCGCGGTATATAAGCTGCCATTAACATTTCTTTTAAACAAACCCATTTTTTAAGGTAAAAATCAGGAATGATGATTTTTAAATAAAAAAGTCCACAATACTTTTTTGCACCGTCAAAAATTGACCATCAGTTTTAACAAAAAAAAAACAAATCCATAATCTTAAAAGTTTGTATAATTAACGCATTTGTGTGATAATATGTTAAATTTAGCTAAATAATTATAATGCAAAACAAAAATAAAAATTGTTATTTATAGTGGGTCCCACTAAATTATAATTAAGTCCACTTAGCGAATTGACTGAACTTGATAAAAAGGGGGATTTTTAATTTTAAGTATGTGAAAAATTGTAAATACATACATTACACTGAATTTATTAACAATTAATTTACACGGGTACTTTTAATTGATTTTACGGAATTTTAAAATTGCTAAATCTTGAAGGAAAGACCAACTAAATTAAAAATTTATTATATATTATTAAATTATAATTTGTTTAAAAAAACTGTTCTATAGTATACAACTGTATTACAACACAACATACAATAATAATAATAATAGAATATACAATAATTTTAAACTTATAATTCTAAATAATCTTACAATCACAATTCATAAAATTACAAATAAATAATAAATTAAATGTTATTAATAAATATCACTTAATAATGTCATACAATTTTATCAAATGATCTAACGAAATATTTGTTTAAGTAATTAATCAGCCTCCTTGGAGGCTTCCAAAAATTGCCGTAGCGCACGGTATTTCACGTGCACGTGGCGGGGTATTGGTTAAAGTTTTCAACTAGCAATAATCGCACCTCGGATAAACCTCATTGGTTACGATAATGCCTCTGCGCAAAGCTAACGATTTTAAATTTAGCCCGACCTTAAGAATCCGACAATTGCGTCAACAGCGGCGAGATGCGTCGATGTAAACATTGAAGAAAACCCTGTAATATGTTTATTTATGAGTTTAAAGTTAGTTTATTAATTCTTAATTATTTCATTAATAGGAATAATTTAATTTAAAAAGAATAATTTACGTACATGCCGATTTTATACCTATTCTTTTAATATTAAGGTAAAATGTGTAAGTGGAGAGTATTAGCCATCTTTTGACATTTATTCAAAGCTTAACTTCGCTAAGACATTTGTAGGTGGCGCTGCCTGTACCAAGAGGTATTTTTAAAATGTTTAAATATTATCGAAATTTTATGTCGCTTAATCCGTACCCGATAAGTAATTTTAAACGAAGGAACAGCTTTTACATGAATGGAGAGTATAGAAATGAATCATTTTGACGGCTTTGTGGAGGTATGATGAAATATTTATTTTTATTATTATTATATGGAGAAAGTGGACCAGCACTCTAGACCGAGGTTATAGTACCTATATACGTACTTTCTTAATATTAAAGAATAGTTATAGACGCTACTGCTGTGGATAATAATTTGTTCCAAACCGATACGCAACTATGTTAGCTGGTCATTAGCCTATAGAATATCCACTTGTGTCTATTATAGAATTTTTAAGAAATATTGGGGAGGTACAATTTTATTAAATTATATATTATATATATTATAACTTTTTTGGCCTAAAGAAGAATTTAAACAATGTTACTATTTCAAATATTAAACAATACATGCTGCAGCTTTGCCAACTAAACCCCCAAATTTTTGACGTCAAATTCCGAATAAAAAACAAACTGTATATTGTTGTAATATTTAAAAACAGTTGGTAAAATTACCTATAATACAATAGTTGACTTTTTTATGTTATGTAAAATACAGGTAAACCGGTTTAATACGGATACCTACATACCTTTACAAAATAGGTATGACTTAGGTATTTTACTTTTAAAGCTAACAAATTAACGATATTGCTTTATTTCTAACGATGTGAATTAATTGTATTAAAAACTAAATAATAAAAAATGCGTATACTGAGTCAGTAAGTATTACTGACCTTACGTTACCTTTAATGATGTTTTACAATGTTTTAAAACATACGAATCGTATGATACGATCCTTGTTTTATGAATGACTAAAGTTCCCTGAATCGCTTGGTCATTGTGTCTGCACTCGTTGCATTTTGTATGGGAATTTTAAACTTATTTTTTTCCAGGTAGTTTTTAGCCATGCGTCATCCCAAAATTACCTTCTTCCGCAAACTAAATGCATACAAAGAAAATATAATTTTGATATATTTTTGTTTTAGTGTCTACCAACCCAAGGTATACTATTTTATCCATATGTTCTATATACAGGGTGTCACAAAATTGGCGGATCAAAGGGTAAAGATAAATTCTTTCAAAATTGCAAAAGTTATTTAATTTTTAAAGTCACCAATAAGAGCGCAGTGTAGCTGATCTATTGGACGAGTTTTTGTATACCTATATATTTGTTTGTTTGCAGAAGACGCTGATATTTTATTATTGGAAAAAGTAAACAAAAACAACAATTCGAAAAAATGTTAATGGAAATTTTGTCGTAGATTTTCGAAAGGAATCGACCGATCCGGTGATTTTGGGGCACCCTGTATACAGGGTGTTAAAAACGGAACACATCCAAAGATGCGAGAGGTTATCTTGAGAATAGTAGCGAGATATTAGTAATTAGAAAAAATATTTAATACATATTAACAAATTGTGGCTTTATGGCCCTTTAGTCACGGGCTGAAGTTAGCAACAGATTTTAAGTCACGGGCTAGAGTTAGTTTTAAATTAGTTGACAGTTGTAAAATGTCACACAATCCTTCTTGTAAAATAGTACTAAATGTAAAAATTATTTTATTATCTCAATACAAAAGTATTAATACTAAAATTTAATTAAATAGTTTCTCAACGCCAATATAAATAAAGTGTATGTGAACATTGTACTGTCCTTTAAATTCCACCGGCAGTAAACTAGATTTAACTTAATTTCGGGTGGAGACT